GACATTTATCTGGATAGTTATTCTACAAATATATGCAATTAATGCATGTGCAGGTAAGACAGATTAATCGATTCACTTCTAATGATTATTCTGATTCAAAGGCTTATATCATATATCATCGATAATATTCATGGCCCAATATTATTTAAATTTGCTACAAAAATCACATGGTCGTAGATTGCAACGATTTTATGAACGATTATTACGTTATGAGCGTAAACAGAGGATTCATCAATTATTATTACGACAAATGATCGGACATTATTATCAATCATTTGCTAGGTTACAACGCGAAATTCATGATGATAACCAACAATTAAAACGTTATTTATCGGTCATTTTCACTTTAATAACGGCTTTAATAACATATTTAGTTTATCTGATCTTGATGACAGATCAGAATTTTGTATTTCTGCCATTGTATATTGTGGCAGCACAGGCACATTATGCTACATTATCAGTTTTGATTATTGGCTGCAATATGATTAAACAGAATAACGAAAAAGCATTGCGATTACAACGTAAATGTTTAACATTATCGGCGGCATGTGAACGGAAATTCTATCACAATTACCAATTATTGAAGGTAGGATATGGTGAATTTGATTATTTTTTTACTGTTAATCAATTTCTCATCATTTGAAATTAGTTTGAAACAATTACTGGTATTCAATTGAATCGACCACCTGGTTTTCAGCTTGGAAACGGAATGATAATCACATCATATACATTTGTTACATTTCTAGTCAATATTAGTACATTTTTCTTTCTTATTTCACAAGATTTTGGACAAAAATGATGATTTTCTTATTTTTGCAAAGAAAAAAAAATGGAAAATGAAAAATGCAATTTTGTTTGTTGAAAAAATATTAAAATAAACTTAAAAATAGCAAAAAAAAATCAATTTTTGTTAAAAAAAAATATAATGAAAAGGTGATCCTGTCATGTGTGAATCTTGATGATGATGATGATCAACAAAAAAATTTTCTTATCTTGTTATTTCTTCTTTCTTTCATTTTTTGTTAATTTGAAATAACTCAACAAAACATAATGGAAAATTTTTTTTTCTTGCATTTCATTTTAAATTACAAAATGAACAATGAGACAACCAAAACGATTAGGATCCGGTTTGATTTATTTGCTTTGCATGTGTTTTGAATAAATTAAAATCATTTTTTTTAGCCAACAATTGTCACGTTATATAACGATAATATTTGCAATGTCTACAATGATTACAACATATTCATCATATCTATTGTTTATGACTAAACAACGTTTTATTTATCAATGTCTTTATTGTATGATTGCTCATGCACAGATCAATACATTATCTGTTATGATTATTGGCCTGCTAAAATTCGTAATAATAATCAAAAATTATTACGATTGAAACATAAATATATTGTTCATTCATCATGTGAATATAAGAATAATTTCATCATTCAACAATTGTTTAAGGTATAAATCAAAATGATAATCTAATCCAATTTATTGATTGATTGATTAATTGATGCAAAAAACAGTTTGATTCGTTAACAAATACATTGTGGAATCAGCTATCGGGTTTCCGGTTAACAAACGGCACCACTATTACATCGTATACATTCATCACCATCATCTTTAATATTACTTCATTTTTCTTTCTCATTTCACAACAACTTTATTGACGATTGTTATGAACAATAATTGAAAAAAAAAACGATCATTCATTTCGACAATCACTGGTTTTATTTGAACGGATTTATCAACTTTTATTGATTTTAATTTTTTTTACATTTTTATTATTGTTATCATTAGAATTATTATCGCACATAATTTGATCGAATTTTCTTGGATCAATAATTTTTGTTTTTATTGTAGCGATTTCTTGTATTGTTTTTTTACTGTTAATCAATTTTTCATCATTTGAAATTAGTATGAAACAATAACTTTAGTATTCAATTGAATCAACCATCAGGTTTTCTACTCGGAAACGGCAAGACTATCACATCATCATATACATTTGTTACATTTCTAGTGAATATTAGTACAATTTTCTTTCTTATTTGACAGCATATTGTACGATAATAACGATTTTTTTGCACTGAAAAAAATTGAAAAATCAAAATTGTAATTGTGTTTATTGTAGAAATATCAAAATAAACTTAAAAAAGAAACAATAAAAATGGCCCCACGAAGTTACTTCAGTCAAATTTTCTTTTTTACTGTACTCAAATATGGTAATAAATTTTATCAATTGAAAAAATTGACTGACGATTGTTATGAACAAAAAATGAAAAAAAATCACCAAAAAAAGTTTCAAAGTGAAGTCATAAGTTTTATTTGATTTTCAGGATAATTTTTTTTTTAATCCATGACAATAAAAAAATGAATATTCTTCATTCTTTTTCAATGAAAATCAAATCCGCATTCGGTTGATGAACAATCATCATCAAGTATCACCACTCTGTGCGAACAACAAAAGCAATGATGAATGCCATTCTTGATTTAGAGATAAATTTGTGGAAAAAATTGATGAAATTCAATTATTTTCGGAAATTTCATAATCAATTTTATTACATTTTCAAATATGATGAATTAATGCAAAAACAAATCATTGAAAATAATTATCCAATCGATAAGAAACCAATTGGCAAGATAATGAATCCACCACATCATAATCCAATTTTTTCCATCCCATCCACATTAGTTACGATTATGGCATTCATTAATATTGGACAATTCGAATGGATTAAAAATTATCAATTTTATCAAGCAATGATTAGACTACTTCCCAGCGAAGGATTACATTATCTGATGGCTGGATTCATTATGTGGGCATTAAATGGTCTATTTAATGGTTTTTATTCATCATCTCGCTATTACCGACATTTCTATTTTCTATTACCAATACAACATAAAAGATATCGTGCATTGAACAAAAAAGATTCCAATAATTATACATTGATTAGAAATCGTGTATTTTCATTTGTTCGCATTATATCATTTGCTCTTTGCACAATGTTTCTTTTAGGTAAAATAACAATGTTTATTCTACAACCATCATGGAAGATATCGATATTGTGGACTGTATCAATACGTAGATAATTAAGCAGACACGAAAATAAAAAACGATTCATAGAACAACACAAAAGTTTTAATCTAGAAATTGTTTTACACGAGGTTTTCGAGAAAAGAAAAAGAATGAAAAATTAACTTTTATAGACACGACACAAAAAACTAAAGAACAAAAAACAGAAAACCATCCGAAATGACTAATAGGCCAAAAAGACATGAACGCATGCGTAGTTTAACAGTGGACATTTATCTGGGTAATTATTCTGCAATTATTCGCACTTAATACAATTGCTGGTAAGAGAACACATTAATCGATTCATTTCTAATAATTATTCCTAATTCAAAGGCTTATATCATATATCATCGATTATATTCATGGCCCAGTATTATTTAAATTTGCGACAAAAATCACATGGTCGTAGATTGCAACTATTTTATGGACGATTATCACATTATGAGCGTAAACAGAGGATTCATCAAAATTTTCGTCAATTATTCTTACGACAAATGATTGGACATTATTATCAATCATTTGCTATGTTACAACGTGAAATTCATGATGATAACCAACAATTAAAACGTTATATATCGGTCATTTTCACTTTCATAACACTTATAATAACATATTTTGCTTATTTGATCTTGATGACAGAACAGAATTTTATATTTCTATTACTTTTCATTTTGATAGTACAGTCATTATATAGTACATTATCAGTATTGATCATTGGTTGCAATATGATCAAAAAGAATAACGAAAAAATATTGCGATTACAACGTAAATGTTTAACATTATCTGCGGCATGTGAACGGAAATTGTTTCAAAACTATCAATTAGTCAAGGTAATTTGTTTATTTTTTTAAAAGTTAATTAATTTCTCATCATTTAAAATTAGTTTGAAACGATAACAAGTATTCATTTGAATCGACCATCAGGTTTTCAGCTCGAAAACGGCATGATTATCACATCATATACATTTGTTACATTTCTAGTGAATATTAGTACATTTTTCTTTCTTATTTCACAGAATTTTGGATGATTTTCTTTTTTTGCACTGAAAAAAAATCAAAAATCAAAATTGCAATTGAACATAATGACCGAAAATAACCATTGATATCATTCAAAATTAAATTTTTCATCACATATAAACAATATTGTTGATAAAATTAATAGATTATGTAGAATTTTCTTTACACTTATTGGTAATACATGAAGAATTTCGTGTGAAAAAAGAGAATAAACTTATATAATGGAATATCTTATGGTCATCAAAATACGGTTTAATCACAAATTAAAAAAACAAAATCGATTCGCTACAATATAAAATTTTAGCCAAATCAATTCAAACCACGCTGCACTGTCTCTCAAAATATGGTCCACGTCATTTTGTTTTTGTTTGATTTATTAGTATCTACTTAACTATTATTAACATGTTGTGTATTATTTTCAATCTCACCAACTTACAAATGATATTTTTCAGATCCTTATATGAAGCTTATGCAAAGAAAAAAAAATATTGTAATGACATATGAACACGATTTTCAAATATTTCCCTGTTTCACCATCCATGGCTAAATTTTTTAACATGCAATTTATATAGAACTTAGTAGTCAATAAAATTATCATTATTATTGTTATCATCATTAGAATTTTTTTTAAACGCAAATGCTAAAATGGAGCAACCCGCTTTTAGCAAATAAAATTATTATTTTTGTCATTATAATCATTATTGCACATAATTCGATGGAAATTTGAAATCAATAATTTTTGTTTTCATTGCAGCAATCAATCATATATTATTATTATTTGAAAAAAGAAAACAAAAACCTGATGTAAAGACATAAATTTAATGAGATTTTCAGGATAATTTTTTCCGTTGAAAAACTCACGCCTGAACATTGCGTGTGTGCTCGTGGGTGAAAAGAAATCTTTAATCCGTGAAAATACAAAATGAATTTTGTTTTTTTCCTTCGAAAATCAATTCCATATCTGCATTCGGTTGATGAACAATCATCATTAACATTTAGTATCATCACTCTGTATGAACAATAACAATGAATGTCATTCTCGATTTAGAGATGAACTTATGGCAAAAATTGATGAAATTCAACTATTTTCGGAAATTTCATAATCAATTCTTTTACATTTTCAAATATGATGAATTAATTCAAAAACAAATTATTCAAAATAATTATCCAATCAATAAGAAACCAATTGGCAAGATAATGAATCCACCACATCATCATCCAATTTTTTTCATCCCATCCATATTAGTTATGATTATGGCTTTTACTTATATTGGACAATTTGAATGGGTTAAAAATTATCAATTTTATCAGACAATGATTAGACTATTTCCCAGCGAAGGATTACATTATCTGATGGCTGCATTCATTATATGGACATTAAATGCTCTATCGAATGGTTTTTATGCATCGTCTCGATATTTTCAAGATTTCTATTTTCTATTACCAATACAACATCGAAGATACCGCGAATTGAACACAAAAGATTCCAATAAATATACATTGATTAGAGATCGTGTATTTTCAATGATTCGTATAGAATCATTAACCATTTGCATAATGTTTCTTTTAGGTAAAATAACAATGACTATTCTACAATCATCATGGCAAATATCAATATTATGGACATTAATCTGGTTATTTATCATGCAAATATGGACATTAAATGCAAATGCAGGTAAAAGAACACATTGTTTAATTCATTTCTAATAATTATTCCTAATTCGAAGGTTTATATCATATTTCATCGATTATATTTATGGCCCAATATTATTTAACTTTGCGACAAAAATCACATGGTCGTACATTACAACGATTTTATGGGCGATTATTACATTATGAACGTAAACAGAGTAAACAGATGCGTCAATTATTATTACTACAATTGATTGGACATTATTATCAATCATTTGCTATGTTACAACGTGAAATTCATAATTATAACCAACAATTAAAACGCTATCTATCGGTCATTTTCACTTTAATAACGGTTACAATAACATATTTAGTTTATCTGATCTTAATGACAAAACAGAATTTTATATTTCTATTACTTTTCATTGTGGTAACACATTCACATTATGTGGCATTATCAATATTGATCATTGGCTGCAATATGATTAAACAGAATAACGTGAAAACATTGCGATTACAACGTAAATGTTTAACATTATCGGCGGCATGTGAACGGAAATTGTTTCATAACTATCATTTATTCAAGGTAAAATGTTGTGAATTCTTGTATTTTTTCATTGTTAATCAATTTCTCATAATTTAAAATTAGTTTGAAACAATAACTTCCATCAATTTGAATCGACCATCAGGTTTTCAGCTCGGAAACGGCGTGATTATCACATCATATACATTTGTTACATTTCTGGTCAATATTAGTACATTTTTCTTTCTTATTTCACAGAATTTTGGTAGAGAATAATGATTTTATTTTTTGCACTGAAAAAAATTCAGAAATCAAATTTACAATTGCATATAATGACCGAAAATAACCATCGATATCATTTAAAGTTAAATTTTTCATCACATATAAACAATATTGTTGATAAAACTCATAGATTAATTAGAATTTTTTTTACACTTATTGATAATAAAACTATTATAAAATAACAGAACATAACATGAATAATAAAGTTATTTTAATCAAAAATTTTTTTTTTCTTGCTTTGCAACAAATATGGTGTTAAATTTTATCGATTAACAAGAAAAAAAAATTACAATTTTCATGACTGAATATTGGTTATGAACAAGGATTAGGAAAAAAATCCCAGAACGACGACGATCCTTCATTTCAATATTTGAATGAATGGTAATTGAAAAATCCATTTCAACAATCACTGATTTTTTTTATATTTGAATCAATTTAACCACTTTTTATTTTGATTTTTTTTTTAATTTTTTTTTATTCATCTTATTGTTATCATTAGAATCCTTATTGCACATAATTTAATAAAAATTTCAAATCAATAGTTCTTTTTTTATCGTGATATTCAACTTATCATTATTATGAATTGTTGACATTATTGTTTTTCTTTTCTATTCAATTGCATTTCCTATTGATGATATTTTTATATATAAAAAAAAAGTTTTTTTTTCTTACAAAAGTAAGAACCGAATAAAAAAAATACTCAAACTATGATTTCGAAAGAATTTTTTTTTTTTTTTTTTTGCTAACTAATCAAATTATATCTAGTAAGAAACGATCGATCTATATCGTAAAAAAGACGGTATGAAATCATGGTGAATGCAACAAAAGAAAAGAAAAATAAAAGAAAAAAAGAAAGAAAAATAAAACCTTTTCTTTGTAATGTCAAAATTTTTACCTGATTTTCAGATTATTTTTTTTGTTTTTTTTTTGTTTTTTTTTTTGTTTTTTTTTTGTTTTTTTTTGTTTTTTTGAAAAAAATTAAACCTGAACTGTGTATGTGAAATGTAAATTTTAATCTTTGGCAATAAAAAAATATTGTTTTTCAATGTGTCAAATAACGTATATCAACCAAATGCAAATATGAAAATAGATTTCATAACTGAATTTGGTGGATGAACAATCACCTTCCCCATCATCAAGTATTACCACTCTATCTATGTGAACAACAGCAATGAATGCCATTCTCGATTTAGAGATAAATTTATGGAAAAAATTGATGAAATTCAACTATTATCGGAAATTTCATAATCAATTTTTTTACATTTTCAAATATGATGAATTAATTCAAAAGAAAATCGTTGAAAATAATTACCCAATCGATAATAAACCAATTGGCAAGATAATGAATCCACCACATCATCATCCAATTTTTGTCATTCCATTAATATTAATTATGATTATGGCTTTTACTACAATTGAACAATTTGAATGGATTGAAAATTTTAAATTTTATCAAACATGGATTGGACTACTTCCCAACGAAGGATTACATTATATAATGGCTTTATTAATTATATGGTCATTAAATGCATTATTAAATGGTTTTTATGGATCATCTCGATATTATCAACATTTAGACTTTGTGTCAGCAATACAACATCAAAGATATCGTGAATTGAACACAAGAGATTCCAATAAATATACACTAATTAGAAATCGTGTATTTTCAATAATCCGTATTCAATCGTTAACCATTTGCATAATCTATCTTCTAGCTAAAATAACAATGACTATTCTGCAATCATTATGGCAAATATCAATATTATGGACATTTATCTGGATATTTATTCTTCAAATATATACAATTAATACCGTTGCAGGTAAGAAATCCCATTAATCAATTTATATATAATGATTATTCCTAATTTAAAGGTATATATCATCCATCATCAATAATATTCATGGCCCAATATTATATAAATTTGCGACAAAAATCACATGGTCGTACATTACAACGATTTTATGAACGATTATTACTTTATGAGTCTAAAGAGAAGATTAATCGAAAGTTCAGTCAATTATTTTTACGACATATGATTGGACATTATTATCAATCATTTGCTATGTTACAACATGAAATTCGTGATTATAATCAACAATTAAAGCGTTATCTATCGGTCATTTTTACTTTAATAACGGTTTTAATCACATATTTAGTTTATTTGACCTTGATGACAAAGCAGAAGTTTATATTTCAATTAATTTTTATCGTTGCAGCATATGGACATTATGTGACATTATCAGTATTGATCCTTGGTTGCAATATGATTAAACAAAATAACGTGAAAATATTGCGATTACAACGTAAATGTTCAACATTATCTTCGACATGTGAACGGAAATTGTTTCATAACTATCAATTATTCAAGGTAAGATATTGTGAATTTGTGCATTTTTTTCATTGTTAATCAATTTTTCATCATTTAAAATTAGTTTGAAACAATAACTGGCATCAATTTAAATCGACCACCAGGTTTTGAGCTAGAAAACGGCATGATTATTACATCATATACATTTGTTACATTTCTAGTCAATATTAGTACATTTTTCATTCTTATTTCACAGGATTTTTGACAAAAATGATTTTTAAAAAATCTCAAAATCAAAAAAAAACTAAAAAAAAACAAAAACTGAAAACTTGGGCCATTTTTTGGCCAGAAACCATCCGGACAAATCAAGATATAGCGATTTCTTGTTTTTTTTACTGTTAATCAATTTCTCATCATTTAAAATTAGTTTAAAACAATAACAAATAATCAATTGAATCGACCATTTATAACTTTATTATATTAACTTTATTAATAGTTCTTTCGTTTATTCGTATATGACACAAGTGCCGGTATGGCAGTGTGTCTGTTATAGTTTATAATAATAATAATTGAATCGACCATCAGGTTTTCAGCTCGAAAACGGCATGATTATCACATCATATACATTTATTACATTTCTAGTCAATATTAGTACATTGTTCTTTCTTATTTCACAGAATTTTGGACGAAAATGATGATTTTTTTTGCACGGAAAAAGTTCAAAAATAAAAATTGTAATTGTGTTTATTGTAGAAATATTGAAATAAACTTTAAAAAAACAATAAAAATGGCACCACGAATTTAATTTAGTCAAATTTTCTTTTTTACTGCACTTAAATATGGTAATAAATTTTATCAATTGAAAAAATTGACTGACGATTGTTATGAACAAAAAATGAAAAAAAAATAATCAAAAAAAGTTTGAAAGTGAAGTCATAAGTTTTATTTGATTTTCAGGATAATTCGTTGAAAAACTCACACCTGAACTGTATGTATGTCTGAATGTGAAATGTAATTTTCAATTTTTTTATACATGAAAATAAAAAAAAGAATATTCTTCATTCTTTTTCAATGAAAATTAAATCCGCATTCGGTTGATGAACAATCAGTATCATCAAGTATCACCACTCTGTGCGAACAACAAAAGCAATGATGAATGCCATTCTTGATTTAGAGATAAATTTGTGGAAAAAATTGATGAAATTCAATTATTTTCGGAAATTTCATAATCAATTTTTTTACATTTTCAAATATGATGAATTAATGCAAAAACAAATCATTGAAAATGATTATCCAATCGATAAGAAACCAATTGGCAAGATAATGAATCCACCACATCATCATCCAATTTTTTTCATCCCATTCATATCAGTTATGATTATGTCTTTTATTTATATTGGACAATTCGAATGGATTAAAAGTTATCGATTTTATCAAGCAATGATTAGACTATTTCCCAACGAAGGATTATATTATCAGATGGCTGCATTAATTATATGGACATTAAATGGTTTATTAAATGGTTTTTATGGATCATCTCGATATTATCAACATTTCTATTTTCTATTATCAATACAACATCAAAGATATCGTGAATTGAATACAAAAGATTCCAATAAATATGCATTGATTAGAGATCGTTTATTTTCATCGATTCGCATAGTATCATTGATTATTGCTATTATGTTTCTCTTAGCTAAAATAACAATGACTATTCTACAATCATCGTGGCAAACATCGATATTCTGGACATTCATCTGGATAGTTATTCTGCAAATATGGACAATTAATACAATGGCTGGTATGAATACACATCAATCGATTCATTTCGGTTGCGATATGAAATAGCCAAACTGAAAATAGCCAAGGCAGAAAATAGCCAAATATTTTCTGCCTTGGCTATTTTCATTTTGGCTATTTCAACCCACAATCTTCATTTCTAATAATTATTTCTAATTCAAAGGCTTATATCATATATCATCGATGATATTTATGTTTGAGATTTTAGTTTATTAAACAGAACAAGAAAAGATGGATGTGGATAAAAGAAACAATGTAAATATCATAATAATAATAATAATGTGTAGCCAGAGATGTGTGTAACGAATGAGAGTGTATGTGTCACTATGTACATCTGCTTTTATAAGCATGTTCAATCTAAAATGATTAGGGTTCAATCAAAGATGTTAGAAGACATAGTTCAAACATGAGACATCGTCTATCGTTTTCTCTAACACTTCCACCCGATTGACGAATGGTCATGCAGCTCCTGGAAATAAAGATGTGATCAAAAACAAATTGAATGTTGTAACGATGGATATGATGAATGAATATGTCCACAAATGAAAGGACCAATAATTTAAATGCCATGGAAATGGGCTTCAATGATACCAAGTAATCCATCGATAATAAATCCAGAAGTTCAATTGAAATCCAATCAAAATATCGATATAATCGTTTTACCGTTTTGATATTGACCAATGTGTTGAGCAGAAAATGAGCGAGTAAAACGATGCGTGCGAAAATCAATCGCTTGATGAACAATAAATATAACTTAATACGGATATTTTCAAAATCCAAGTTATTTTGTAATCGGTTTCGTCCAATCGAAGTAGATTTGTAGAAATTGATCAATACGTCCAAATAAGAGATAAAATTGTACCATTTTGGTTTGTTCATTGTTTGTAGGACAGATACGATATGATCAAATGAAACTAAATACAAACGTAAATCTACTTCGTAGGTTAAATTCAACCAATAAAAGGTTTCGTCTAAAA